GAGAGAGAGAGAAAGAGAGAGAAACACATTATCCTGGCGATGGACCCAACCATATGCAGTTACGAGTACCGCGAAGCAGGTTGAGCGAATGAGAGGGAACTCCCTATGGGGCCACGAAACGTGTGAGAGGTGTGCCGAAATGGGTGCGGTGCCGCCATGCGAACGCAGCCACTGGGGCCCTCGGTGGAGCTCCCTATGGGGCCACGAAACGTGTGATGGGTGTGCCGAAATGGGTGCGGTGCCGCCATGCGAACACAGCCACGGGGGCCCTCGGTGGAGCTCCATATGGGGCCACGAAACGTGTGAGGGGTGCCCCGAAATGGGCGCGGTGCCGCCATGCAACACAGCCACTGGAACCCTCGGTGGAACTCCCTATGGGGCCACGAAGCGTGTGAGGGGTGTGCCGAAATGGGCGCGGTGCCGCCATGCGAGCGCAGCCATTGGAGCCCTCGGTGGAGCTCCCTATGGGGCCACGAAACGGGTGTGCCGAAATGAGTGCGGTGCCGCAATGCGAACGCAGCCACTGGGGCCCTCGGTGGAGCTCCCTATGTGCCGAAATGGGTGTGGTGCCGCCATGCGAACGCAACCACTGGGGCCCTCGGTGGAGCTCCCTCAGGGGACACGGAACGTGTGAGGGGTGTGCCGAAATGAATGCGGTGCCGCCATGCGAACGCAGCCAGTGGGGCCTTCGGTGGAGCTCCCTATGGGCCACGAAACGTGTGAGGGGTGTGCCGACATGGGTGCGGTACCGCCACGCGAACGCAGCCACGGGGGCCCTCGGTGGAGCTCCCTATGGGGCCACGAAACGTGTGGGGTGTGTGTGCCGAAATGGGTGCGGTGCCGCCATGCGAACGCAGCCACTGAGGCCTTCGGTGGAGTGCCGCCATGCGAACGAAGCGCGGGAGTGGTGTGCCGAAATGGGTGCGGTGCCGCCACGCGAACGCAGCCACTGGGGCCCTCGGTGGAACTCCCTATGGGGCCACGAAGCGTGTGAGGGGTGCCGAAATGGGTGCGGTGCCGCCACGCGAACGCAGCCACTGGGGCCCTCGGTGGAGCTCCCTATGGGGCCACGAAGCGTGTGAGGGGTGTGCCGAAATGAGCGCGGTGCCGCCATGCGAACGCAGCCACTGGGGCCCTCGGTGGAGCTCCCTATGGGGCCACGAAACGTGTGAGGGGTGTGCCGAAATGGTGCGGTGCCGCCATGCGAACGCAGCCACTGGGGCCCTCGGTGGAGCTCCCTATGGGGCCACGAACGTGTGAGGGGTGTGCCGAAATGGGCGCGGTGCCGCCATGCGAACGCAGCCACTGGAGCCCTCGGCGGAGCTCCTTATGGGGCCACGAAACGTGTGAGGGGTGTGCCGAAATGGGTGCGGTGCCGCCATGCGAACGCGGTGCTCCTTATGGGGCCACGAAACGTGTGAGGGGTGTGCCGAAACGGGTGCGGTGCCGCCATGCGAACGCAGCCATGGGGCCCTCGGTGGAGCTCCCTATGGGGCCACGAAACGTGTGAGGGGTGTGCCGAAATGGGTGCGGTGCCGCCATGCGAACGCAGCCGCTGGGGCCCTCGGTGGAGCTCCCTATGGGGCCACGAAGCGTGTGAGGGGTGTGCCGAAATGGGTGCGGTGCCGCCATGCGAACGCAGCCACTGGAACCCTCGGTGGAGCTCCCTCGGGGGACACGAAACGTGTGAACTCCCTATGAGGCCACGAAACGTGTGAGGGGTGCCGAAATGGGTGCGGTGCCGCCATGCGAACGCAGCCATTGGGGCCTTCGGCTGAGCTCCCTATGGGGCCACGAAACGTGTGAGGGGTGTGCCGACATGGGTGCGGTACCGCCACGCGAACGCAGCCACGGGGGCCCTCGGTGGAGCTCCCTATGGGGCCACGAAGCGTGTGAGGGGTGTGCCGAAATGGGTGCGGTGCCGCCATGCGAACGCAGCCACTGGGGCCCTCGGTGGAGCTCCCTATGGGGCCACGAAACGTGTGAGGGGTGTGCCGTGATAGTGGGAGGAGGGAGGAGGGAGGGGGGAGGAAGGAAGGAAGGAAGGAAGGAGGGAAGGAAGGAGTGAACGCGGGGCGCTGTCTCTTCAAAACGAGGACCCAACACCACAGGATGGTTGTGAAAAAAAGAAGGAGAGAGAAAGATAAGGAAAAAGGGAGAGAGGGAGAAAAGAGAGAGAGAGAGAGCAATGAAAGAGAAATAGAGAGAGGCAGGGACAGAACGATGGGTGTCTGCACCGTCGATCTATGTTGCAGGTATCTCCGAAATCATCGTCTGATCGGGCAGGTGCCACGGAACCATGACCCAAGGAAACAACGCAAAGCTTGGTAAAGCGCAGACGAACAATGTATAAGGATCACTGCTAGCAAATCACTTAAATGCATAAAGACCAGTGCCCCTAAATGAAGAGACGAAGTCCTCAACCTGAGCACGGGAGCGCTGAACAGTCATGTCGTGCTCTGCCTTGTTTGACCGGAATATGATTGATGGTCGCGACAATGTCAACGTCTAAGCAGCCCCAAATGAAAGAAGGGGAAGCACACGTCTGGTTGATCTGATGTCCACCCTGGCCTAAATCGCGCGTGGCAGACGGCTGTCAGCGGGAGTGAGGTCCATTGGCCTTTCCGCCCTCTCCCCTCCAGAGGCTGGTGGGGCGCCCACCAGCAGTGCAAGCAGCCATGGCCCAGGCCCCGCGCGCGGAAGCATGCTGGCGAGGCCGCGAAGCTAAAATGGTCAGAGGGGGGGGGGGAGACAAAGACCCGCCACACGTCGCGGAAGAAATCCAGCATGAGCGGCAGAAATGCCGGCCGCACAACGGAGCCGAAACCACGGACAAGAGTATCACAACTCCACTCCGAAAGAGACCGCGACGGGTCAGCCACTCCGAACGAAGCCGCGGCGTGCCGACCCCTTCCTTAATTTCAAGGAGGCGATGGTATTGCGACGCGCTGAATGCATACTTGATGGTCCGTGTTCTGGGCCAATCAAGCTCCCTTGCAAGGCGGTACCATGGCAACTGCAAACATATCCCAAACATGACTCGCATCAGCGCGCACGCACCCGGAACGTCCGCATACCCAGCGAAGACACCATCCAGCGCAAGCTGCTGTGGCACCTGTCACCAGATCTTATGTATAGTATGCGTGTGTGAGAATGATTTAAAGACCGGTTCTGCCCGACCAGCGCCGATTAGTTTCTACCAACGCCCCTTCTAGCGCCAATGAGCGCCTATTGACGCCTACGCGTGCCTGTTAGCGCCTACCGGCGGTCGCTAATATGCAGTTAGCAACACAAACCACCGGGGAGGACAACAACTCATGCTTAAAATGACTGTCGCGCACAGCACACCTAACAGATCGGACCGTCCAATGCCATAGTGGTACCGATCCTCGCCGAAACCATATCCCTACCACCCCCCGAGTGCAACAAACTTCCCCATGGGGTACCCGCCGTGACTCCCGCTCTGCGGGCTCAATGCATAACACCACGGCTGCTACTTGCTGCTGCACTAGGATGCGGGAGCGTGGGAACTAGCATGCAATCACACGTGGTGCAATGATGATAAATGCGATTGACAGAGTTGCTCCCCAGCGCTGGGAGGTTACACTCTCGACGTGCAGCATTCCTGGTGTGAATCAGTGAGTGTGTGCGCGCGCGTGGGATCCTATTATTTCTCAACAGAATCAATAGTCGAGCAAAGAGTGGTCGCGCACAAGACGCGCAAAAGACGGCTTGTGCATTGAAGTGTCTGTCCAACAGATGTGCGAGTACGAGTCCGCCAGCGTGGCCAGCGCCCGAGCGGCAGCAGCGTCGCCAATCAATGTTGCACCCACCGCTCAGGCGAGAGCACCGCTCAAGGCGTCCCGGCCTCAACAAGGTTCCGATTTGCAGATGTAGCCAGCACATGTTATTCTCAATGAGGGATGGGGGTGCCCAGGCGAGAGCGCCATTCCCAATCAGGAGTGTGGCCACCGGCGAGAGCACCATCTCCGATCAGACATGCGGCTGGCGCTCGAGCGGCAACACATGCGTGCCCGAATTGGGATCTGACCAGCGCTGTGGCAAGCGTGCCGTTCCCTATGGGACATGTGGCCAACGCGTGGGCGACAGCACCAATACGGCCAGAGTTCGGTAGAGAGCACCATCTCCAATCACGATTGTGGCTGTCGCCCGAGCGGCGGCACCGTACCCAAGTTGAAATGTGGCTGGCACAGAGGCGAGAGAAGCGCTCCCAATAAAGGATGTGGCCAGCGCGCAGAATTGCCTCTCGCGCGGCAGATCCGAACCCGAATCTGCGAGATTGTCGGGGAGGGGTGTACCCTTTCCCCTACCCCATACCCTGGATCTGGACGGGAAGGGGCGCGAGCGGTTAGAGCGTACAGTGACCCAAGATGGCCCCAAGATGGTCCCAGATATCTCAAGATGGCGCAAGATAGGTAAAGGTGGCTCAACATGACCTTCAGCATGCCTTCCATATGCCACAATGACACCGCAAGAGGGCGCGAAGTGGCCACAGAGCGCCTAAGGAGAATCCCAAGAGGCCATAAAGTCCTTCAAAACCAGAGGATGTCCAATGATGTGTGGCGCTTCCCCTTGTCGCTTCCGATATTCCAGCCTGTCCCCCGCTGACAAATGATGCAGAGGATGTTCCTCGTGGTAGGCAGACCCGCAGAGGGGTCTGGGCCCAGGCAGCTAGGTAGAGGGACAGAGGGAGGCAGAGAGAGAGAGATGGAAGCGTAACATACACATCTATGATCTGTATGTACTGAGATCGAGAGAGAGAGAGAGAGAGAGAAAAAAAAAGAAGAGAGAGACAAGACAGAGACAGAGAGAGGAGGGGGGTAACAGCGATAAAGAGAGAACGAGAGAGAGAGAGAGACAGAGAGAGAGAGAGAAACTGGGATAGATGCAGAGAGAGAGAGAGAGAAAACACATTGAGGGAGAGACAAAGGAGAGACAGAGAGAGATATACTCTTTATATATATATATATAGAGAGAGAGAGAGAGACGAGGGGCGAAGGATAGCACGCAGCAAGTTTCCTCGGACGGGTGGCGTCACTCCGCGCCACCAGCGACCCCGTCGCCGCCGTCCGGGCGCCCGCCGCCCTTGCGGCCCGCGCGGCCGCGTGCTCCACGCCCACGGACACGCTCAGTCTCGCCTGCGCGGGGAGGGCACGGGACGAAAAGAGAGGGGGGGGCACGGAGAGGGGAGGGGCAGGGCGTCGAGGGACGGTGACGACAAGGAAATGGGTAGGGCGAGGCACGAGGAGGGGTAGGGCACGGGGATGCCGCAGCTAGGCCCCAAATCGACCCACCAATGGAAAGGAATCCAACCACGACCCTCCAGCAGATCGACCGACACCTTGGGACCTTGGGTGACGGCGAAGCTACACGAGCACCGTTGCTCAAGTGTCGCTGAGCTGACGGCAAGACCAGCCATATTAGGGGCACCAATGGCGGGCATATCCCTCGCGGGCAACGCTTCACATGCGCGCAAGCGTCGCGAGCTGACTTCCGTCCGCCTCGACGGGACGGTCCCACGAGGAGGAGGAAAGCAAGCGAAAGCAGGGACCCGCTCACATGCTGCTCATACTGACCATCCATCTTCTGCCCCCAAACGTTTACAGTCAAGATACACTTTACAAATCAATCATGCTCTTTCTCTCTCTCTCTCTCTCGAAATGGATGGAAGGATATGCTCGTTGCAGCAAGCTGTGACTCGACCCCGTTACACCACAATGTCAGAGATCCACCAAAATTGATCTGGAACGCAACGCCCTGGGCCCTCGCCCAGCCGCGAGGACAAGGTGCCCTTGCCTGTAGCACACGGCAAGGGCATGCGTAAAACTGCGAACAGTTCGAGGTGCTAATGCATCAGGGCATGGCAGAAATTCTACTTCCCTGGTGGTCGGGGCCACTCTGCTCAGGTCTGGAGCGCCCGCACACGCTCGCGTAGGGCGGCAAAGCCATCGCTTGGCGCGAGTGCGCTGACAAACGCGTCTACCTCCATGTGGACCACCTTGATGGGAGGCTCCAGCTTCGCCAGCGCCTGCTGATGATCAGCGGATGCGGAGGAGGAGGAGGAGGAGGAGGAAGAAAGTGCATCAAGGCTGCGGGGGAAGAGGAGGAAGGAGGAGGAGAAGGAGAAGGAGGGCCAGGGAAGGAGAAGGATCCTCCTCCAGCGCCGCACGCTTCGCGGCGGGGCATACGATCGACACCCTGCGCCCGCACTCTCCGGTGAACAGGGGCAGCAGGTGCTTCCTCAGCGCCGCGCGCACCTCATCTTCAGAGACCTTCTGCACGGCCTGGGGAGACGTTGGCTTCGCCCATTGTTTGACCCCCCCCCCGCTCACCCGCGTCATCTACGACTGGGTGGATGGGGGGGGGAGAGGGAGGAGAGGAGGGAGCATGAACAGGAGGAGCAGGAGGAGGCGGAGGATGGGGAGCAGGAGGAGGGTGAAGGCGAAGTGATTAGCAATGAGGACGGCGGACGGAACAGGAGAGGGGAGGACAGGGGGACAGGGGTGTGGCGACGCAAAGGCACCCAACGTTCTGGGTGCAATGGAGTATCGCAGGCCTTCAGGAGCCACTGAAGCTGGTCGGGCGGGAGCTGCAGCAAGGCGCCATTGAACGCCTCCCCTACGGCACTCGGGATCGTGTCCACTGGCTCGATGAGTCCGAACAAGACCCCGCTCTGGGCAGCCTTGGGGAATCAGAAACAAAGAGCTCTCATACTATCTGATCAGAAATCACTGCCCCACAGACGGACCAAGGATCCTGACGCTTCGACTTGACGGAGAACACCCCTCCCCCACGAGCCCAGAGCGGCCGATCTGGAAAGGGGGGCAAGGAGCCAGCGGACTCACCTGGCCCAGATAAGCTCAAAGGCGCACCAAAAGAGTCCAAGATCGCGTTATGAGATTCCACAGGTGCTCTGGGATGGCCCCAGGTAGGTCCAGAAGGCCCCGAATGGTTTCAAAACAGTTCCAGGAGCACCAAGACTTCCAAGACGGCCCAATAGAGCCCCAGGAAGACCCCAAGGAGGGCGCCAAAAGGCCAACATCTAAAACTAGAAAATGATTGTTACACATGCTTGACGTACTCGCCTGTTCGATCTTCAGTAAGTCTAAAACAACCCAGAAGACCCCAATGGTCCCCCAAACCGAACCAAGAGGCTGGCAAGACTGTCCAAGAGATCCCTTTGGAAGAGACTAAAACGGGGACCGCGAAGGGGCCCAGAGAGCCCTCCTGCACAAGATGCACCTCAATACCCATGCCCTCAAGAGAGCCCTAAGACGCCCCGAAGAGGCCGCCAAGAGGCTCCCAGAGGGCCTCCGAGAGGCCCACAAACGCACCAACGGGAACCCTTTGGAGCATGGTTTTAGGTTCCCCAGATGGACGCACGGCGGCAAGACGCTTCGATGTCAACGACCCCAAAAGAGAGGCATCCAAGGCTCCCAAGGGGCCGGCGGTGCAGCGTAAGCCAATGAATCGATGCTGCTGTGCATCGCGCAGGCGACTTCGCTGGCTCAATCAGTCCTCTCGCTGTGGGTGCCTGCCTACCGCGAGAGCAAGCTCGTTTGGACAGCCATCGACAAGGCACGGCTGCGCGGGACGGCTCGGCATCTGTTTTCAGGCCAGGCTGGCCCAAGGGAGTTGATGACCTGGGAGATTGCGGTTGAAAAGCACGCCTTGGATCAGATGAATCAGGGTTCCAGATCGACTTCGATGGTGCTCCCAAGAACTGTCGTACCACATCCCTGGGTTTCTCAACATGCCGGGAGCATCCACATTACTCGTGAGAATGTCAGGTCGATTGGGGACACCCCTTCATGGCTCAACACCATTCTCCACAGATCGATCCACCTGCAAATCCCTGCAACTACATATTGAACAGCTTACAAAAGGAGCGAAACTGTTGGAAGACACTATATCAAGAAACGTTGGTCGATGGCGGATTCGAGCACGCACCTGTGTTTTGCATTTCTCCACGGACGGAGCTGGCCGCGTGTCAAGTTTGAATCGCGAATGAGAGTCGTCCGCGAGGGAGACTCGCTCGGCTCAGCTTTCACAATTCGGCTCAGCTTTCACAACATGCTAGGTACTATAATTACTCGTTCGGGCTGCGTTGCAATGTACGAAGTTCCGCTGCGCGTGACTCCGGGCAGCCTCCAGGGCGCTAGGGTCAAGCCCCTCGTCGGCATCCTCGCCATCGTCTTCCTCGCTGCCGTCCGCGCAATGCAGGGCACCTGAGAAGCCAACAGACTGACCAATTGCATGGCCCCACCCTCGTGCCGACCTTCCAAACAGCTGGCTTTCCTCCACCATCCCTCCTCCATCCTCACTCCTGGTCCTCCTTCTATTGCTGCTGCTCTTCGGCCTCCTCCTTCTCATACAACTCCGTCCATCCTCCTCCTAATCCCCCTTCCTTCTCCCTGAACCCTGCTCCCTCCTCCATCTTCCCTCTTCATCTTTCTCATCGGCTCGCCCCCCACTTCCACTCCTCACTCCCTTGCTCGACGTGGTCGTCGTCATCCTCCTCGATTCCTCCTCCTTCCCGTTGCCAGCAAGATATTCCTACGTCAGAATGAAGGGGCCGCACGGTCAATCATTGTCCCTGGGTGCGTGGCTGAACTGTGATTCCGCTACGCGGATTCTTGTTGTTGGTGCGTTGCGTTGACTTGTTGCTGCAATTGTCGTCGTCGTCGTCGTCCCCCCCGCGAACCCCCCGAGACCCACCTGCGACCCACCCCGCGACCCACCCCGCGACCCATACACATTAGTCTACACATCTATACAAATTCGCCTTGATCCCCCATCGCCCCATTTCCGCTTGTTCAAACTTCTCTCGGCTCGAGAGGGCGCTGCGATTTCGACCCGTGCAAAGACATCGCCGAAGAGCATCGTGGTGAATCCCACGAGCGCTCCACAACTAGTTGCAGGACTGCCTCAATGGCACTACTGACGTTTGCCGATTGCTGCTCCGAGGGCTGCGCCAACAGCAGCACCCGCAGCAGCACCAACAGCGGCATCGACAAGTTTACCAGCTGCGGCCCCGTCGGCTGTGCCACCAGCACCACCACCACCACCACCACCACCACCACCACCACCACCACAACCACCACCAACACACACACACACAGACAAGTTCACCGACTTTTGCCCCGACGGCTGCACCGACAGCAGCACTCAGAGCACCACCGCCAACAGAACCAAGACATTCACGGATTGCTGTCCCTACGGCTGCACCAGCAGGCACGCCCTCTGCAACACCGACAGCATCACCGACAAGTTCACCGACTGCTGCCCCGACGGCTGCACCAAAAAGCGCGCCCACGGCTGCACAGACAGCGGCACCGACAAGTTCACCGAATGGTACCCCGACGCCTGCCCCGACGGCTGAACCAACAGCATCAGCAACAGCGGACCCGACAGAGGCACCGATTGCTGACAAGACGGTTGCACCAACGGGCGCACCCACTTCAGCACCGACAACGTCACCGACAAGTTCACCGCTGCCCCGATGGCAGCACCAACAGCATCACCAGGAGCGGCACCGACATTGGCACTGCCGACGGCTGCCCCGGCGGCTGCAACGACAGCATCACCAGCAGCGGCACCGACAAGATCACCGAATGGTACCCCGACTACTGCCCCGACGGCTGCACCAACAGCATCACCAACAACGGCACCGATAGCATCACCGAGAAGTTCGCCGACGCTGCCCCGACGGCTGCACCAACAGCATCACAAACAGCGGCCCCGACAGCGGCGCCGACCGACTGACCGACTGATTCCCCGACGGCTGCACCAACAGCAGCACCTTCCACTGCAGCGCCGACCGCATCACCGAAAAGTTCATAGATTGCCGTCCCGACGGCTGCACCAACAGCAACGCCCACTGCAGCACCGACGCCGTCACCGACAAGTTCAACGATGTTGTCCCGACGGCTGTACCAACAGCAGCGCCAATTCCAGCACCCACGAACTCACCGACAGCCTCACCGACTGCTGCCCCGACGGCTGCACCAACAGTAGCGCCTTCCATTGCAGCACCGACAGCATCCCCGATCAGTTCACCGACTGTTGCGCCGACGGCTACGCCAACAGCGTCACCAGCAGAGTCACCGATAGCGGCACCGATAAGTTCACAAGTTGCCCCGACGGCTGCACTAACAGTAGCACCTACTGCAGCACAGACAGCGTCGCCGACAAGTTCACCGACTGTTGCCCCGACCGCTGCACTAACAGCAATACCGCTGCACCAACAGCATTAACAGCGGCGCCTTCAGCGACACCGACCAGCTGAACAACGCCCCGACGGCGGCGCCAACCGCCCACTGCAACACCGACAGCGTCGCAATTAAATTCCCGGATAACTCCTAGGAGAGCTAAGAGGGCTTCATATTAGAAGCCGGCAGGCAGGGCTTCGCCAGCTCCCCTCCAAGGCTCTCGGTCAGGCATCCCCGCAGCGGGTCGCCTGACCGTCCAGCGTGTCCCGAGAAACGTTTCCCTACGTGTTCCCAATACGCGTGCCTGAAGCCTTTCCGCAGGTCCTTCGCAGCTCTCTCGAATCTCCTTCGAAGCTTGCTTGTCGAAACTTCCAAGCTCCCCAGGCATGCTGTCCAGCGTCCCCCACAAAGATTTCCTGCCCTCTGGACAGCTTCCCACGGATCCTTGCCCAGACCGTCGGATTTCGGACTCCGACCTAAGCAGGTCGTGAAACTGCTCCGACCTGAACAGTTAGTGAACTGCTCCGACCTGCTCCGGTCGTTAAACTGCTCCGACCTGAGGAGGTGTGCGTGTGTGTGCGTGTGTGTGTGTGAATGTAGGTGTGGGTGGTGCTGTGCTGCGGTGGCGGGGCGCGCGCGCGGTAGCGGGCATGGCGCGTTTAGAGCTGCCCTGTTATCCGGGTTTTGAACGCTACAAGTTCACCGACTGCTGCCCCGACGGCTGCACCAACAGCATCACCACAGCGTCACACACAGCGGCACTGACCAGTTTACGGACTGTTGCCCCGACGTCTGTACCAACAGCAACGCCTACTGCAGCACAGGCAGCGTCACCGAACAATTGACCGACTGCTGCCCGACGGCTATGCTAACAGCATCACCAGCAGCGGCACAGACAGCGGAACCGACCAGTCTACCGACTGTTGCCCCGACGGCTGCACCGACAGCATCACCACCAGCGGCACCGACAGCGTCACCGAGAAGCTCGCCGACGCGGCCCCGACGGCTGCACCAAGAGCATCACCAACAGCAGCACCGTTCAATTCACTGCCTGCTGCCCTGGCAACTGCACCAACAGCAGCGCCTACTACAACACAGACATCGTCACCGACAAGTCCACCGCCTGCTGTCCCGACAGCTGCACCTGCAATGTCACCAGCAGCGTCATCGACAAAGGACCGACCAGTTCACCGACTGTTGCCCCGACGGCTGCACTAGCAGCGGAGCCGACGGCAACACCGACAGCGTCACCGACAAGTTCACCGACGCCTGCCCCGACGGCTGCACGGACAGCATCACCAAGAGCGACACGACGGTCGCACTAACTAGTTCAACGACTGCTGCCCGACGGCTGCACCAACAGCAGCGCCCAATGCAGCACCGACAGCGGCATCAGCTAGCTCAGCAATTGCTGCCCCAACGGCTGCACCAACAGCATCACCAGCAACAACGCCCACTGCAGCACCGACATCGTCATCCAGAAGTTCGCCGACTGCTGCCTGACGGCGGCCGCACAGCGGCACCGACAGCGGCACCGACCGGCTCACCAGCTGCTGCCACGGCCACGGCTGCACGTACAGCAGCGACCAGCTCCAACAGTGTCACGGAAAAGAGCACCGATTGTTGTCCAGACGGCTACAACAACAGCATCACCAACAGCGGCACCGATAGCTGCACCGACAGCGTCACCGACTGCTGCCCTACGGCTGCAACAACAGCAGCGCCCACCACGGCAGCACAGACAGCGTCACCGACACGTTCACCGACTGCTGCCACGACGGCCGAACCAACAGCCGAACAACGGACCGACCAGTTCACCGACTGCTGCCCCGACGGCTGCACAAACAAGCGCGCCCACGGCTGCACAGACAGCGGCACCGACAAGTTCACCGAACGGTACCCGGACGGCTGCCCCAGCGGCTGCATCAACAGCGTCAGCAACAGCGGACCCGACAAAGGCACCGACTGCTATCCAGACGGCTGCACCAACAGGCGCACCCACTTCAGCACCGACAGCGTCACCGACAAGTTCGCCGCTGCCCCGATGGCCACACCAACAGCATCACCAGCAGCTGCACCGACATTGGCACTGCCGACGGCTGCCCCGGCGGTTGCAACGACAGCATCACCAGCAGCGGCACCGACAAGATCACCGAATGGTACCCCGACTACTGCCCCGACGGCTGCACCAACAGCATCACCAACAACGGCACCGATAGCATCACCGAGAAGTTCGCCGACGCTGCCCCGACGGCTGCACCAACAGCATCACAAACAGCGGCCCCGACAGCGGCGCCGACCGACTGATTCCCCCACGGCTGCGCCAACAGCAGCACCTTCCACTGCAGCGCCGACCGCATCGCCGAGAAGTTCATCGATTGCCGTCCCGACGGCTGCACCAACAGCAACGCCCACTGCAGCACCGACACCGTCACCGACAAGTTCACCGATGTTGTCCCGACGGCTGTACCAACAGCAGCGCCGATCCCAGCACACACAGCGTCACCGACAATCTCACCGACTGCTGCCCGACGGCTACATCAACAGTAGCGCCTTCCATTGCAGCACCGACAACGTCACCGACCATTTCACCGACTGTTGCCCCGACGACTACGCCAACAACGTCACCATCAGAGTCACCGACAGCGGATCCGACCAGTTCACAAGTTGCCCCGACGGCTGCACCAACAGCAGCGCCTACTGCACTACTGCGACAAGTTCACCGATTCTTGTCCAGACGGCCGCACCAAACAGCATCAACAGAGTCGCCCACAGCGGCACCGACCTAATCAACAACTACTGCCCCGACGGCGGCGCCAACAGCAGCGCCCACTGCAGCGCAGCACTGGCACTGCGCCGATGAGTTCACCGACTGCTGCCCGACGGCTGTACCGACAGCATCACCAACAGCGGCACCGACCAGTATCAACAACTGCTGCCCCGACGGCGGCGCCGATTGTAGCGCCCACTGCAGCACCAACAGCGTCGCCGATAAGTTCTCTGACTGCTGCCCGTTGGCTATACCGACAGCATCACCAGCTGCGGCAAAGACAGCAGAATCGACCAGTCTACCGACTGTTGCCCCGACGGCTGCACCCAGGAGCTCGCCGACGCTGCCCCGACGGCTGCACCAACAGCACCACCAATAGCGGCACCGACAAATTCACTGCCTGCTGCCCTGGCAACTGCACCACCAGCAGTGCCTACTGCAGCACAGATAGCGTCACCGACAAGTCCGCCGACTGCTGCCCCGACGGCTGCACCGGCAGCATCACCAACAGCGTCATCGACAATGGCACCGACCGGTTCGCCGACTGAAGCTCCAACGGCCGCACTAGTAGCGCCGCACTAGCAGCGGAGCCGACGGCAACACCGACAGCGTCACCGACAAGTTCACCGACGCCTGCCTCAACGGCTACACGGACAGCTTCACCAGCAGCGGCACCGACGGTGGCACTGACTAGTTCACCGTCTGCTGCCCGTCTGCTGCATTAACAGTAGCGCCCAATGCAGCACCGACAGCGGCATCAGCAAGTTCACCAATGGCTGCCCCAACGGCTGCACCAACAGCATCACCAACAGCGACGCCGACAGCTAGCTGCCCCGACGGATGCAGCAACAACAGCGCCCACTGCAGCACCGACAACGTCTTCCACAACTCCGCCGACTGCTGCCCGACGGCTGTTCCAACAGCATCACCAGCAGCTGCACCGACAGCTGTATCGACCGGCTCACCAGCTGCTGCCACGGCTGCACCTACAGCAGCGCCCACTGCAGCACTGACAGTACCATCGACAAGATCACCGATTGTTATCCAGACGGCTGCAACGACAGCGTCACCAACAGCGGCACCGATAGCTGCACCGACAAGCTCACCGACTGCTGCCCTACGGCTGCAACAACAGCAGCGCCCACCACGGCAGCACAGACAGCGTCACCGACACGTTCAACGACTACTGCCCCGACGGCCACAGCATCGCCAGCAGAGGCACCGACAGCGGCACCGACCAGTTCATCGACTGTTGCCCCGACGGCTGCAACAACAGCGGCGCCCACTGCAGCACCGACAGCGTCACCGGCAGGTTCACCGACTGCTTCCCCGACGACTGCTCTAACGGGACTCCAAACTGCTCCCCCACCAGGGTCTCCAACGGCCTCGCCGACAGCGAGGCCGAGGAGGTCGACAGCGGCGCCGAAAGGAGCACCGACATGCGCCCACCGTGGCGTGGGCACCGCCACCAAAGAGTTCAAGTGTTTCAGGTTATTGTAGCAACCTTAGTTTCATGCATGGTGTCTTATCCCAGCTGCTATATCATGTACTGTGTGCTTCACGCAAGGGCAAGGCCACTGCGTAGTGCAGCGCATTTACGCGGTGGTGTGAGCAAGTTTGTTTCAAGCCACCGTATAAGCTCAACCCCCTTGCGTGGGTGTTGCCTAGTGCCGCAGTTTATGCGCAGATCGCTGCGCGGCTCCATGTTTACGCGGTGGTCGAAGCATGACGATAGTGCTTCGACAGACCCTGTAAGTTTTAACTTTGCACAGTGAATGGTGAAGTGTTTGGGGACAGAAATGGTTTGCTGTTGATGCTTCGTCGCATCAACGCCGTCCGTAGACCCATTGTCTCAAATATTGTTGTTGGAGCGTACGGCGGCGCGGGCAAGCGCGCGGCAGGGGATGCTCACCATGTGTCCCGATCCCATGCAACAGATCTGACTTTGTGGCGGCGCCGCCATGCACGCATGGACAAACATATACAGATTAGCCTTGATCCCCTCTCGACCCTCTCCCGAGGAATCAACTGACCAATTGCCTGACCCCACCCTCCTGCCCAGCTTCGAAACAGCGGGCTTTCCTCCACCATCTCTCCTCCATCCTCGCTCCTGCTCATCCTTGTATTGCAGCTGCTCTTCCGCCTCCTCCTTCTCATCTGACTCCCTCCATCCTCCTCCTCATCATCCTTACGTCTCCCTGTACCCTGCTCCCTCCTCCATCTTCCCTCTTCCATTGTCTCATCGACTCTCCCCTCCCCTCCACCCCTCACTCCCTTGCTCCACGCGGTCGTTGTCATCCTCCTCCCCAACCTCCTCAATTCCTCCTCATTCTCGTTGCCAGCAGCATAGTCCTACGTCAGAGTGAAGGGGCCGCACGGTCAATCATTGTCCCTGGGTGCGTGGCTGAAGTGTGATTCCGCTACGCGGTTTCTTATTGTTGGTGCGTTGCGTTGATTTTCTGCTATTGTCGTCGTCGTCGTCTTCGTCGCCCCCCCCCCGCAACCCACCCGCGACCCCACCCGCGACCCACCCCGCGACCCACACGCCCGCCCCCTCACTCTTATCCGCAATTGCGGGGTGCTACGTGGCTACTTCGCAAGAGGAAAACGGATTGAGTGCCGAAGGTCACCCCACCGTCCCCGTCGACTCTCCCGCCACCTTTCGGAGAAAGTGGGGATTAGATTTGGCACCTAGGTGGTCCTCGGTGGTCCCCCACACATACTGCCCTATCATCCTCATCTTCGTACTCGTCCTCTTCAACGTCGCTTCACGTATCCTCTCCCTCACCTCGTCCACGTGGGCGTCACTGTATTATTACTCCTACTAGTCCCCGAATTCAAAGTCATCCTTCTGGCCTCGCCCGGCACCTTCCTGCTCCCCGTCGCCACCCTGTTTGCCCTCCTCGCTGCAGAGTTTGACCACCACCTCCCGCGCGACGGAGAAAGCCGCGACCGGGTCCGCAGCCTCGAGACCAGGAGGTATCGAGCAGGGAGGAGAGGAGAGAGAGAGAGAGAGAACAACAAACATAATGTAGAATGACAGCCTCATTCACAGCAAGGGCTCATTCGCAGCCCGTTATGCTCTCGGCGGCCAAGCCTGCAACCTATGGCGGAACCAATACAAAGCTGGTTTGTCTCGGCGGCCGAGCCCAAAAACTGCAGCGCAACCAATAGAAGGCCGTGTACTTTGATCTGATCGGCGACCGAGCCCGCAACCTGTGCCGAAAGCAATCGGGGGCGGTTACATGCTCGGAAGCCGCATGCGGAACCAGTGGCGCAACTGATACAAGGCCGTAGTCCTCTCGGTAACCGACCGCACATTGTATCGGGAAACCACAAGCAGGCCGTGTCATCGGCGGCAGAGCCTGGAACCTGTGGCGCAAGAGCAGGCCGTTGTATCATCGGCGGCCGAGCGAGAAACTTGTGGCACAACCGATAGCAGACCAATTCTTTTCAGCGGCCGAGCGCGCAACCTATGGCGCAACAACTAGCATGCTCTTTGATTATCGCCGGCCGAACGCGCAACCAACGGCACAATGAACAACAAACCTTCAGCAACGTTAGTCGGAAAAGGGGGAAGAGGGCATGACAAGGATTCACAGAGGTGCAGACTTCGAAGAAGGCATTGACGACGACGGCCGCGACATCAACGACCACGACGAAACCGACGGCAACGACGCCGAGACCGACGGGTCCACGAAATGTGGTGAACTTGACACTGTCTACCAAGCTACGCCCCGTATACATCATACATGTGCATACTTACATATATGCATAGATAAGTGTACAACTATATGTATATATATATATTAGATGTATATATGTATATATATATACATATGTATATGTGTGTAGACGTGCTACAACCACGCACGCGCGCTTCGCGCGCGCTTAGGTTCTAGCATGCTCTAGTTGTAGTCTAAAGCGGTCGGCATCGGAGGACACATTGTCACACGGATCGTGTCCCTCAAGGAGCTCCACCCGCGGCCCCAGAGCCAGCCTTGCCTTAGCGCACGCCCACGCCCATGTCGGCACACCTTTCACAAGGATCGCGCCCCACAGGGAGCTCCACCTACGTCCCCTGAGACAAGGTTCGCATAGTGGCACGCCGCTCACGCGGATCATGCCCCGCAGGTGACTGCAGTTGTGGCACCAAAGGGAGGTTTCTAGCGCCGCCCAGCTCACTTCGGCCTACCTCTCACACGGATCGTGGCCCGCGAAGAGTTCCACGGAGGGCCCCAAAGACAATTTTGGCATCCCGCCCCTCCGCCTACGCCGGCACACCTCTCACACGGACCGTGTCCTTCACAAGGAGCTCAACCTTCGGCCCCAGAGGCAGGGTTCGCACTGCGCTCCCCCGCTGGCTATTGCGGCACACCCCATCACGCGAATCGTGCCCACAAGGAGCACCACCTAAAGGCCCACAGACAAAATTCGTATAACGCCCCTCGGCCCATGTCGGCACACCCGTCACGCGAATCATGCCCTAGAAAGAGCTCCACCTGTGGCGTCCCCCCGCCCATTTCGGAACATGCCTCGCACGGGTCGTGCCAAAAGAAAATCCACCTGCGGCCTCAGTGGGCGTGTTCGCGCGGGGGCATCCGAATTATTCGGCACACCCTTCACGCGGATCGTGCCCCACAGTGACTTCAGCTCATCCATGCACGCATGCTCCGCAGCAGCCATCTTTCCGCATTGCCCCGCGGCGCGCAGTGTATTGAAGAGAGACCCACGCCCTGCGCGACATATGACCTCCAAGGGATGGGTCCGTCGACAAACAAATTGCTTGCGTATGGTACGAAACAATGTTGGCCTGTGGCATTGCTTGCCTATGGCTGTTGTGTGACGTTTCGATGCTCGGTCTGTTGGTCTCCCTGGCGTCAGACACCGCCCAAGAGGCCCCGAAGATCATCCCAATACTATCCAAAAGGATTTGCAAGCAATTCAAGAAAGCCCCATGACAACCCGACATGGCCCCAAGATGGCCCGAAAAGAACCCCATGACGGCCCAAGACGGCCCCCAAACGCCCCCCGAAACACTTCATAGCGTGACCTAAGGAGACCGTAGCTCGCAGCACTGTGGTCCGAGGAGGCCCCCAGAGGCCCTAAAAAGGCGACCAGGAAGCCTCCAGGACCCCCCCCGAAGTTCCTGAGGAGGTGTCGCGAGGCCCACATGTGGCTCTCTAAAAAAAGCCTCCGAGAAAAAAAACAACGGAAGAAGACGGGGAAGTGTTCGCAGGGGCAGGCGAGAACAAGGAATAGGAAGAGAAAATATGACGCAAGGAAGGAGGAAGCAACTGTTACTACGACGAGGGCAACGAAAACGACAGCAAGGAGCTACTGCTGTTTCACATCTTTACCTCTCTCTCATTCCGCCCGCAGGACGAGATTGAAGGACCAAGGTACATGGTGCGAAGCGTCTTGTACATCTGCATGCACATATGCATATGTATATCAGTGTGTGCACGCAAATGTGTATCACGTTGATGTAGATACGGGGTATACATCTATAGATATATCGGAAAGATCGTGTCCTACCGTTGCTGGCAGAAAACCGGAGGGGTCACTGCGGGTTTCAATCCCGTCCCCCCACCCCCCCTCTCGAAAACCAGTGGGGTCACTGAGGGGCCCCCCCCCCTCTCACACCCTCCCCTCGGTCCATCATGAAAATCGGGGGTCACTACCGGGGATCGAACCCCTTCCCCCCCCCCCTCCTGGAAAACCTCGGGGGTCACTACCCGTTCGAATCCTCCCCCTCCCCCCGCCCTCCCCCTCGCCGCAACGACTCCCCCTCTTCTCCCACTCCGGATGGGGGACTGGTGGGGACAATGGCTGGGACGGTGGTGGGGATGGTAGTGGGGCGTGGGGACAGTGGGAAGAGTGGGACCGTGGTGGGAACAGTGGTGGGAACAGGCGGGAACAGTGGGGGCAGTGCGACAGTGGTGGGGGCACTGGCGGGGACACTGGGGACAGTGGCGGGGACTGTGGGGGCAGTGGGACAGTGGCGGGGACAATGGGGATAGTTAAACAGTGGTGGGGACGGTGGTGGGGGGGACAACAGTGGGACAGTGGTGGGGGCGGTGGTGGTGGGGACAGTGGTGAAGGCGGTGGTTAGGACGGTGGTGGGACAGTGGTACAGTGGGGAGAATGGTGGGGACAGTGGGGACAGTGGGACAGTGGTGGGAACAGCGTGGACAATGGGGCAGCACAGTGGGACAGCGGTGGGGACAGTGGAAACAGTGGGACAGTGGTGGGGACAGCGGGGGCAGTGGGGAGAGTTGGATAGTGGAGATGGTGGTGGGGGCAGTGGGGAAAGTGCGACAGTGGTCGGGGCACTGGTGGGGAAAGTGGCGACAATGGTGGGAACAGTAGGGACAGTGGGACAGTGGTGGGGACAGTGGGGACAATGGTGGGGACGGTGGTGGTGGGGACAGTGGCGAGGGGACACTGGGACAGTGGTGGGGGCAGTGGGACGGTGGTGGGGGCGGTGGTGGTGGGGACAGTGACTGTGGTGAGGGCGGTGGTTGGGGACGGTGGTGGGATAATGGGACAGTGGTACAGTGGGGAGAGTGGTGGGGACAGTGGGGACAGTGGGACAATGGTGGGAACAGTGGGACAGCTCAGTGGGGCAGCGGCGGGGATACAGGGGACGGTGGCACATTGGTGGGGACAGTGGGGACAGTGGGACAGTAGTGGTGACAGTGTGGAGAGTGGGACTGTGGTGGGGACAGTGGCGGGGACAGCGGGGACAGTGCGACGGAGGTGGGAGCATTTGTGGGGACAGTTGGGACAGTGGTGGGAACAGTTGGGACAGTGGGACAATGGTGGGGACGGTGGTGGTGGGGATCATGGTGAGGGCGGTGGTGAGGACGGTGGTGGGGCCCCAGACGTCTTTTGCCGGCGACGAAGGGGTGGGGGGGGTCCGAACTGGGAGTAGCCCCCCCCGTTTTCTGGAGGGAGGAGGGGGGCTCGAATCGGTAGTGGCCCTCCGCGGTTTTCTGGAAAAGGGGGGAGGGTGGGGTTGTGGGGGGGGCCGGCGAAAGGGTGTGGGGGGAGGGAGGTTCGAGCAGGGAGGGGGGATTTCGGAGGGGAGGGGAGGGGGGGAGGGAAACCCCGGATACCGGAGGAAGAGGGGGGGAATTTTCCACAGTAAAGCGGCGGTGGATCACCCTCTCTCTTTCTCTCTCTCTCTCTCTCTCTCTCTCTCTCTCTCCTGTGTAAATATATATATATATATATATATACTAGAACCACGCGCGCGCTACGCACGTGCTTACGTTTTAGTCGCAGATGAGGCACGTGTGCTGCTGTAAGCTCCGCTGTGGTCACAACGATGATTTCCAGCTGTCTCGGGCCCATGCCATCGACGACGCAAAGAAACGCGTAGTCAGAACGCTCTCGCTCTGCTGGGGCCGCCTTTGAGGGGTGGGAGGGGGAAAACAACTTGTGAAATGATAGGGTATAGCGATGCCCCGCTCACTCTGGCGGGGCCTGTCTGGCGGGGCCGTCCCAGGAGAGGAGGGAGGAGCACGAAAGCTGAGGGGTGAGGGGAGGAAGAGGACAGAGGAGGGAATGGAGGCAAGGGGAGGGGGCGGGAGGGAAGGAGGGGCGGAGGGGGGAGGCCCGGGCCATCAGGGCCGTCTTGGAGCGCTCTGGGGCCTCCCGCTCCCGCTCTGTGGCCCAGCTTGGGCCTGTCCTTGGGCTCTCTTGGGCCGTCTGGGGCTCCTCCTGAACTATTTTCGGGTTCCTTGGGGCCGTCTTGGGGCTCTTTTGGGTGCCTCTTCGGCGGTCTCGGGGCGGTCTTGGGGGCGTCTGCGGCCCTCTTCGAGCATTGGGAGCTCGAGAACGCGAGAAAACGAAAAAAACATTGAACAAACCAATGCAGATCAATGATGTGGGCCTCTTTGGGCTCTCTCGGGGCGTCTTTCGGAGCTCTCTTGGGCCCTCTTGGAGGCCTTTTGGGCT